TAACATCAATTATCAGAAAACCCTAAGTATTCACAAAAAGAAGCCAAGATGTCTATAGGTTGGTCATCCAGAGCTAAAATGGAGACTTCAATGGTCATCAAAAAACTTTGGTTCCTTCTCACTTTCTTCTCCATCATCTTCCGATGTGCGGCTAGTATTTACAGTCCCAGATGACTTGTATACCTCTAGCCATGGTATCCACATTCCAAACATCAATGAGATTTTTTTTAAAAAAAGGAAGGCACAGATCAAACACCGTTCCTTTAGAGATTACTTCTTTTAAATTCCCAGACTTGGGGCCTGGCTACATCTAGCTACCCAAAAAGCTGAAAAACACAACAGTTGAGCCAAGAAACCGTATGCCCAGTAAAGATTGAAACTACTTTGAGGAAGAAGAGAAGAATAGATAATACCTGGGCAAGAAGAAATCTCTACCATACGTTATAACTCACTAAAAAAATTCTAAATTTGTTAAGGCATGGACTGTGGCTAACTCATTTTTGTATCTCCCCACATTCATCCAATTCCATGTTCATTGGATCAAGCTACATTTATTATGTATAAATCCCTTTGGTAGATGCTTGAGATAAAAAAAATTATTTAAAAGTACAAAAATTTTACCTTCACTGAACTCTCTGGCAAATACAAGGGGGTATGAAAAAGTTTGTGGAAATTTAAGTTGAAAGATAATGTAATTTTTCACAAAATTGTTCAAGCCCCTTGTGTGTAAACAGAAAGTGACAATGAGTACAGAGAATAAATGGTGCTCAGAACAGAGACACTGTTCATTCCAGGTGTCATAGCTAGGTCCACAGAAGAGGTGACAGGTGAGCTGCGTTTGTTCAACACTCCACAAGTGTCAATTTAGCATAATAAATGAATAATTAATGAAACAATCAAATTATAAGTTACTATGTACAGTTAAAAATTACTAATGTTTCCAGGCACAACTTGGACACAGGAGATTGTGGACATGATCCAAAATGATGGGGATGTGCAGAAGTGCCAGCGGGCTAACACCTTTGATCGGCATCCTTTCATTGAGTGGACTCTACCCCCTCCTCTCAACTCAGGTAAGTTTCCCAGCTAAGACCAATGAGGTTGAAATCACTATTTAGGGGCTGTGTGCATCTAAGAGAAAAATTATTTGCACAATCAGCCCTCTGAAAATATTTCCAAAGAAAATTGGGTAGAAATGTGAAAGAAGTTCAGGCCACAATACCTACTCATCCTGGGGGGCGGGGTGGGGGGGAAGCCTTCAAAATCCTTCCCTGTATAATATGATCCAGTAGCCTCAGATAGCATGTTCCGTGCCATTGAATGGAGCTTAAAGACACTATGGATAAGTTGTCCAGGGGAAATAGAGGACTTGCAGTATCCAGTAATTGAGAACCAAATTCCCATGTCATTATGTTAGCCTCAAATATAATTTATATATAACCTATATACCAGAAACCCAAGCTAAATTACATACATACAGTATCATGATAATCACCAAATATTAGACTTCACATCAAAGATAGTAAGAAATATAAGATAGGCAGCACCCTTGGAAAATTTGCAATCAAGTTAGAAACAAATGACACATGTTTGTATATTAAATAAAAATAAACAACCATTTTGCAATAGGAGATAACCCTGGGGAGAAAGAGGCATAGACTTTGAAAACAGACAGTCCACATTCAGATACGTTTTTGGATTCTTATCTGGGTGAATTTAAGCAAATTATCCAATCTCACCAAGCGTAATTTTTTTTCACGTACAAAACAATAATACCAAGCTTGTATTAAGGAATTCTGGTGTCCTAGTGGACTGCTAACCCCAAGGTCATCATTTCAAACTCACAAGCAGCTCCACATGATAAGGATGAGGCTCTCGGCTCTCTTCAACATTTACAAGCCCAGAAAACAAAAGGGGAAATTCGACTCTATCCTGCAGGCTCACTATGAGTTGGGATGGGCTCAAATGCAGTGGCAGTGAGGAAATATGCAGGAGGGGGTCCAGTAGGCAATGACTAAGCGCTCAGCTGTCAAGGGTTGGAATGCACCATTGGAGCCACAGGAGAAATAATCTGGTGATGATTTCCTGGAAAATAAGAGTTTTTTATAGCATAGGAAACCTGACGGGGCAGTTCTCTTCTTTTATAGGTCACCATGGGTCAGAATCAACTTGAAGACACATAAAAACCAACAATAAATATTAGTAATGTATTAATCTAGCATCGTTTGTTGAAAAAATTATATTTTCTCCCATTGTAACTGCTGCAAATCATATATTATACATGATATATGGCTAATATGTTTGGGTTCTCTTCATTTCTCTTCAACCATATATGCATATGTCTTTTTTGCCAATATTACACTATTTTGATTATTGTAGCTTCATAATCACTTTTTAAATCAGGTAATATAAGTCCTCCAAATTTGTTATTCTTTCAAAAAGTTGTCTTAACTTCTATGTGTTGAATTCTATTCTTTAGAATATTTAGAATGACATTATCAGTGACAAAAGAGATCAAAGCCTCTGATATTTTGATTTGGATTAAATTGATCTGTCTGTGGATAGGTCTCCTAAAAATTAAGATAATGAGTTTTCAGAACCATGAAAACAGTTTATCTCTCCAATTATGTGGGTCTTACAGTTTTTCAATAATATTTCATAGATCTTGTGTATATTTTATAAAACTTTATTATAAGTGTTTGCTTTTATGCTATTACAAATATATTTTAGATTTTATTTTCTAATTATATATGCTTATATATATGAAAACAACTGATTTTTATATTTTTACTTTGTATTAACCATCTGGGTTTTTATTCTAGTAGCTTTTTATTTTTAAGATTCCTTCAGATTTCTTACATAGACAACTGTATCTTGTGTGAACAAAGAAACTGTGCTTTTTCCTTTCTAATCTGGTAACATTTATGTCTTCTACTTTTCATATTGCATTGCCTAGGATTTCTAATGCAATGTTGAACAGAAGTCATAAGAATAGAAACTCTTACCTTATTCTTGATCTTAGGAAGTAAAATGTTAGCTGTGGGTTTCCTGTAGATGCTCTTTACCAGGCTGAGAAAATTTGGCTAGAGTGGTTGGTTTATTTGTTTATTTACTTTAAGACATATACCATTCCATAGTTCAATCACATCAAGCAGAACTGTACAATTGCTACCACAGTCGGTTTCCAAACATTCTTTTTCTGCATGGACTCCTTGACATCGTCTCCCCTTCACTCCCCACCTTCACCACTGTACCCTCTTCCCTGTGAAACCCTCGTTCTCCTTGCTGTCTCTACAGGCTCATCAATCCTGGGTTTCATATACTGAAAAACAGGAAAACATATAACACACTCTGATATGAGCAAACAAAAACCAAACAAAACAGAACTACAGAAATTTTTGGAAACCAGATCAAGTCCAGCTTGCATCGTAGGGGGGATGTACTGACAAAGTTTTAACTGTTCAAGTCAGATTTATGCCTTTGATCTTCTATACTCAACTCTCCAATGCTTTCTGTTTAGTAACCACTTTCCTCCCATCCCTCAATTGTAGATAGAGGCAGTCCTCCTGAGACTTATTTCCTATGTAGTCCCACAAATGACATCTTGTGCTCTTACTGTCAACCATAGCCTTCTGTACACCAAATTCTCACCATTTAGGCTCTGATATAAGTCCCTCCTTGGACTTTGGATTATATAGTTTACCATCCTTCACTGACTGATGATAGTGTGCTTCTTCCATGTGGATTTAATTGACATCTCACTTAGATGAGATGTTTGGAAACAAGCTGCTTGTTTGGAAGCAAGCCTTTAAGACACCAGGTGCTATTTTGTTTGCTAGCCGGGCACCATCTATATTTTTTCCCACATTTTTCTATAGCACCCATTGTCTTCTGTGTTTTCGTCCTGAGAGCAGGTATCAAGCAGCGTCATGATGTAAGAACTAACTAAATTATAGGTAGGATTTAGTGTGAGCCCAAAACCCATTTCTGTATCTATGACGTTTTTATTCTTTCTTTTAATTTGTTGTTACTTGGGGCTTAATACATATATCATATCATTCTGTAGTTCAATCTCGTCAAACAGAATTGTATGATTGCTTCCATAATCAGTTTCTCAACATAGCTTTCTTTCCTGGTCTCCTTGAAATCGTCTCCCTTTTACCTCCCCACCCCACCCCCGGCACCCCACCCCCATATCCTTGTTCCATTTCCTGTCCCTATAGACTCATCAATCCTGGGTTTCATTTACCAAAAGTCAGTAAAAATTATTAACACCACAAGTGAGGACTGGGTTTTGTTGAAAACTTTTAAATTGGGGAATTAATTTAATTCATTTATTTTCCCTCCATTTTGCTTTTGTTTAGGTTGATAATTTTCATGATTATCATGATCATTGTTAAAATGAGTGTGTGTTTGATACATCATGTTTCCTTATCCATTTACAGAATGTACATAATTTTACCATAAAAGTTAGTATCTACTTGTATTTCATAGGGATTAGAGAATGTTGTTTGTAATGTTCCATTTTTATGGTACTCAATGTTATGAACCCTACTGACATCCTAATATATGATCTTTTTTTGTGAATTTTCCATATGCAAGTGAAAAGATATAGTCTCTATTATCCAAAATATCTACCATATTATATGTTATTTAAATCTTATATCTTTTTTGTACTTGACTTTACTAAAACTCCTGTTAATGTTTTCACTTCCACTAGTCTCTATGTTAGTTTTTGTTTTATGTAAGTAATTATTCTGTTATTTGTTATATAGATATTCGTGATTATTACATTTTTATTAGTGTATTGTGGCTTTTAACTTTATTTCTTAGCAATTATTTTCCTAATTGTTGTCCTTTTATATGCTATTTAAAAATCTAATGTCAGTCTTAATTCTCTTGACTTTGTGAGGCATCCCATCTTCTTTGCCAAGAGACCCTGAGGATTATTTTTTCTTTATCATTAAAATCTAATCTTTTTAAGATCTGATACAAATTTAACTATTACAGGTCAACTCATACTGGGATCACATGGTTAAAATTCGAGTTTTGTTTATTCTCAGAAAGTCATTTTGATTTGCTTTGCTTTCAGATTATAGACTTAAACATGAGTTATAGTACATTGTGCTTTGTAATTCTTCTCAGGAATTCCACTTATACCGATATTGAGTCTCCTTTACATTCCTTTTGTATTAACCACATTCTCCATTTATCTCATTGTCATTCTCACAGTTATTTTCTTGCTTTTGTTCAATGTCCTAGACTGAGTTTTAGTTTAAACTTTTTGTTCCTCCTGCATCCTATATTCCGTTTTCATTTTGTCTTTTGCTTCTCCCTCTTGAGTTCATTCAAATATTTTCATTTCTTTCTCGTTTCTGTCCATTTCTTTCCATTTTATGATTTAAGTTTTATTTCATATACTCAATCACATTTGATTTTATATAAGAAGTTGATACTCATTTGGTTTATTGTTTGTTAAAATTTACTACAGCTTCCCAGATTTCTCTTTCAGAGTGCAAAGAGGATAATCATCACTGGATTAAGTGCTTCTGCTTAGCTTTTCTGATTTGTTAATAGCAGTTTAGTTTATATCATAAGATATCTCTTTTTTTCTGTGTGTATCCAATCACCCCCTCAAAAAGCTTACACCAATTAGAGCAGAGTCAACGAAACAATCCTACTAATAGCAAGAGGATAGCTATAATAAAAATCAGAGCTGAGATACAGGAGAGAGAAAACAAGAAAACTATGGGGAAAATTAATGCAGCTAAAAGTTGGTTCTTTGAAAGAATTAACAGAACTGATAGACCACTGGCAAACCTAACCAAAGAAAGGAAGGAACAAACAATTGCAAGGATGAGGGATGAAACAGGGGACATTACAACGGACCTTAATGAAATCAAAAGGATAATTACACAGTACTGTGAAAGCCTATACTCTATCCAATCACCTCATGGGCACACGAAAGCTAGACATTGAATAAAGAAGACTAAAGAAGAATTGATGCATTCGAATTGTGGTCCTGGAAAAGAATACTGAAAATACTGTGGACTGCCAAAAGAACAAGCAGATGTGTCTTGAAAGAAATATAACCAAGGTGCTCTTAGTGGCAACGATGGCAAGACTTCAACTCACCTACTTTGGGCAATATTATCAGAAGAAACCAGTAACTGGAATAGGCCATCATGCTCGGTAGAGTGGAGGGGCAGCAAAAAGAAGAAGGTCCTCAAGGACTGCAATGGTAGGCTCAGACATAAGAACCATTGTGAGGCTAGCACAGGACCAGCACTGTTTCCTTCGATGGCACACAGGATTGCTGTGCATCACAGCAGACTCAACAACACTGAGCAACAACAACTTTCATTTCATGCACAGAATTTCTACTTTGAAACTACACTTTTTTGTCAACTCTGCACTCTGCTCCATTCTGTTTTAGGGTGATCTTTTTATTTTGTGGAGAAGAATTGTCATGCGCTCTTTTTGTTCATTTCTTTGATTGTGTCTTTTTCATCGTATCCTTCTTAAGACCTTCATTGAGTGCAACATCTCCTCTATGTACCTGTTGTCCTCTCGGAGACGGCGTTTCGCTAAGACAGGCATTTAGGGTTTACGTGTGAGCCTTTTCTCATCAGTTAGTGTGGTATATGCAGAAGTCCCATCTCCTACTCAGCATTTTAGCATTCAGTGTTGAACTTTCTATTCCCCATAGTAATGTTTATGCTTTATCCATGTTCTCTTTGTCTCTCTACTGATTTTCACAATGTCTGTGAAGCTTCTCCTCTACGGTTGTCTACACCCACAGACAAACCAGCTTCTGATTCTGGCTCTCAAACTAACTTTGGGAATTACTTTGACCAACATATGATTCTTTTTGTTTCTTCTGAAGACATATACTCGTAAAGAAGACCATGTTCATATAAGACTGGTGGTGATTACGGCCTGTATAAAACTAAAGTTCTCTACATAGAGATAAAGGTGACGAGGTGTGTTACAAGTTGAGTTGCTAACCACAAGCTCCACAGTTTGAACCTCCCAGATGCTCCTCAGGAGAAAGAAGAAGCGCTCTGCACCCATGAAAACGTATAGCCTGGGAAACCCACAGGGGCAGTTCTGTTCTGTTCCATGGGGTTGTTATGGATCAGACTTGACTTGAGGGCAGGAAGGGAGACGCAAAGATGTTGGAGCTGTACAGCCAGCTTAATTGCTTCCTTCCTTTAACGAGAGATTATCCTCAGTCTCCAGCTTTCTTCCTTCACTTCTTCATCACAGGAGTAGAAAAATCCAAAGAGAAAATATCCAAGGCTTGTCGAAGTCATGCTTTTCATCAAGCTCAGACTTCCTAAAGCATCTTTCTCTCACCGCACAGACACTCATTCGTCGCATACCAACAGGGTGATTATGTTGCCTCCGTAGTTTGGAATTGTCTTCAAAGAATTTTTCTTTAACAGACAAAGTCAATGTGTCCCGAGAAAGAAAGCATAAGCATCAAAAACTATTCTTTTCATCAAAAAGCCACTTTTTGACTTATCTATACCAAATGTTTGGTAGTTCAATGAGAATCAACCCATGTAGTTGATAAAATGATGCAGCTAATGGTGTGACCTTGTTCCCCAGGTCTGGATCTGGCTAACAAAATGCCTTCTCCCAGAACTCTTAAAACTCACCTGCCAGCGCAGCTGCTGCCCCCTTCCTTCTGGGAAGAACACTCAAAGGTAAAGAGAGCCAGTCATCAAACCCCATGGTGACCAGTGTGTCAAAGGACACATTCATGGCAAATAACTCCCAGGGTGGGCTAATACAGTCCTTAGGGGGGCCTCCAATCTCAGTAAATTAAAAGCAGGAGTGAAGCTCGTCTATGAGTAGCAATTTATCCTGTTAAACTGAGACTAGACCGTTAACTGCTTTAGCTCTTCTTTCCTATCATCCGGTTAGATTTCATGCTAAATAAAAGTCAAAGAGTACCCGCCTTTCACATACTTAAAATTACCAGGGGTAACTTCTTTAACTTCCTGGAATACAACAGTTAGGGTTAATTATAGTGATCATCCAAACTAAGATACTTTTAAGAGCAAAAAAGGGGGTGTTCTTAGTAATTATGCTAACATCATAGATACATATTAAAACTTTGGGAAAATTGGAACATATGGTCACCTTGAACATAGAAAATGCACATCCAAATATTCATCAGGGATAATCTAAATCTACTATGAAACCATCTAATCACATGATTCTCTACATTAAACAGTTTTTATTTTTCTGTCGTTTATTTTCTCTATGCTCCCACTGCCCTTCATGGTTCATTTCAGATTATCTATGTGGCTAGAAATGCTAAGGATTGTCTGGTGTCCTACTACCATTTCTCCAGAATGAATAAAATGGTGCCTGACCCCGGAACTTGGGAGGAGTATATTGAGACATTCAAAGAAGGAAAAGGTAAAGAAAATAATGGGAGTTCACGTTTCCTCACTCATTCATCGACAAACAACAGAAGGGAGGTTTTTACTGAAAGATCCATTCAACCAATTAAGACCTGGGGAGGAAATGGGAGGCACACGTATTCTGGGTCATTTGAAGGGAGTTTAATTAAGATATTATTGACAAAACTGATAGATTTTTATGGAAACTATTAAGGATTGTGCAATATTCAAGCTAATAACACCAGGTGTCATCATCACCTAGAGGCAGGGGAAAAGCCTCTAGATCAGCAGTTCTCAACCTGTGGGTCACGACCCCTCTGGGGGTCGAACAATTCATAACAGTAGCAAAATTACAGTTATGAAGTAGCAACAAAAATAATTTTATGGTTGGGTGGTCACCACAACATGCAGAGCTGTATGAAAGGGTCACGGCATTAGGAAGGTTGAAACCCACTGCTCAAGATGGAGTTGATTCTTTGGTTGAGGGAAATGGCTAGGCATCTTGAGCAAGCAAGTAAAAACAAAACCCAACTCACTGCCATTGAGTCGGTGCTGACTCATAGGGACGCTATAGGACAGGGTAGAATTGCACCTGTGAGTTTCTGAGACTGTAACTCTTTATGGGAGTAGAAAGTCCCATCTTTCTCTCTCTGAGTGGCTGGTGGTTTCAAATGTCTGGACTTGCAGTTAAGAGCCCAATGCGAAACCACTACTCCACTAGGGCTCCCGAGTCAACCGAGAGGGGTAAAAGTTTTCCTCCTCCTTCCGGTGCTGCTTACTGTCAGGGACTAATTATGAACCTTAAGGTAACGGTCTCTATGCATGCAGTCCATACAAATCAACCTTACAAGGTGCAGAGCAAGCTCTAGAGTGCACTTGGCAGGGCCAACAAAGACTCTCTAGTCTGCCCTGCCTCCTCACATTTAAAGTCGCAGAGGGTGATGGTTCCTGAATATCTGATCACCATTCCATCAGGAAATAATGTTTATTGCACCATTCGGTGGTTATGAGTTGGGCTGCGACGCGCAAGGTTGCTAGTTTAAAGCCACCAGCTGCTCATTGAGAGAAATACCGGGCTTTCAGCTCCCTCGATGAGTTACGGTCTCAGAACCCCATAGGGGAAGTTTTTCTCTGGCCTCTAGGGCCACTCTGAGTTGGCATGGATGCCATGGCATCGGGTTTTATTCAGTAATACAAAGAAGATAAAGATTATGAGCCCGGGTCACATTGTGGCCACATCACTCGTGAAGACGTGCACTCAAGGGTGAAAATATAAACCCAGGAACCTAGAACGATGCTTTATCATCTACCCTAGATGTCAAAATCCCCTTTCTTCTAAAAGTAAGTATTCTGCCTGTGGTCTTTGTCTTCTGGTTATATTTATTATATGTCCATTTTCCTGCATATATTTTGAAATGTGCATTTTTCTTTGTGTCATATGAGCATCAGGTTGACAGTGACCACCCCTCTCTTTGCTTCCCTCAGTGCTGTGGGGCTCCTGGTACGACCATGTAAAGGGATGGTGGGATGCAAAAGACAAACACCGCATTCTCTACCTCTTCTATGAGGACATGAAGGAGGTGAGGATCAGTCGGGGCTCCATCGAGACTTCCTCCCTCCTCTGATGCAGCATGGCCCCTTCAGAACGCTGGCCAGGTGGACTTTCCTGCAGAGGAGACACTAGTGCCAGTCCTCTTTCTCTGAGACTCCTTTCCAGCCCTGGTTTTATTCGTATTTTCAGTCTTCTAATGTTTGTTAATTCACTGTGCAAGTACCAGGAAACTCTTCATCATAAAATCCCCTCATTGTAAAGGACATGTTTTATAATGCCCTTTGGGATCCTGACATTTTTGAATCAAACTTTGGGCCCAACAGGTATAAGCCAAAAATTCTTCACCTTCAAAAGGAGTATAATATCTATCTCATAAGGTTATATTGTAAACATTTGTCAGGTGATGCGTGAAAATGCATTGGTGTGTTGTCCCCTTTCTACAATCCAAATTCATAGCGCACATCGAAGCTCAACCTATATTACATATTACCAAGATTAATCCATTACATCAGTGGATGGGCTTCTGTATTTCAACTCAGTGTGAGCGGAATAGCATCATAAATTCACTTTCATGGTGCAATGGATAAGTGTTCTAATAGCACAAAACTACTCCGTGGCTGAGATATACTCTAAAATATTGTTTAAGAAATTGAAAAGCCAGCTAAGGTGCAGTAGAGCACTGACAAAACCCACAACATTCCTCTGGTTCTTTAATGCCTCCTCCCCTCACTCTCATGACCCCAGTTGTACCTTAGAAATCCAGCTAGAGGAGCATATACACTGGCACAGATAAGAACTCTCCACACACGGATTCCAGGACAAATAAGCCCCTCAGATCTAATAATGAGAGTAGCTATAACATGAGTGTAGGCCGGGGAAGGTAGGGGGAGAAGTGGGAGAAAGGGAGAATGGATCCCAATGATCAATGTATAGCACCCCACTCCCCCATCCCCTGTCCCAGGGGGACAAGCAACAGAAACATGGGTGAAGCGAGACAGAGGAAGGTGTAAAATATGAAAACAAAAATAATTTATAAATGGTCAAGGGTGGGAGGGGAAGGCAGGGAGGGGAAAAAAGAGGAGCTGATACCAATGGATAGAAGGAATTGTTTTGGAAATGTTGATGGCAACATATGTACATGCCCACTTGATATAATGGATGCATGGATTGTTATGATATATGTAAAATCCCCCAGTAAAATGATTTATTAATTAAAAAAAGAAAGAAAGAAACTATACCTCCTTCTCTTGGAGCATCTCTTTGATCATGTGACCCGTTTGAGAGTTTTAGAATAATCAGGAAACAAGGGCTCAAATACGTGTATCAGTTGAGCTGTCTTTTTTTTTCTTTTTTAATAATTTTTTTAGTGGCTCATGCAACTCTTATCATAATCCATACATACATCAATTGTGTAAAACATATTTGTACATGCATTGCCCTCATCATTCTCAAAACATTTGCTCTCCACTTAAGCCCCTGGCATCAGCTGTCTTTTATTCATTACTCTGATTTGCTTTCTATTTTTCAAAAAGAGGCCATTTTGCCACTACTTTTAGTCCAAATAGTAGAGATAATTATGTTGTGTTTCACCATCTACATGTTCCCTCTTTCATCTTGCATCTCCTCCAACCTGATATACTTCCTTCTCTTCCCTCAAATCTCGTGGCACTTCTGTAGGGGGCAGGTATCCTTTCTTGGCCAGGTATTGTAATATGAGGAGAGCTCCCAAAACTTCATGAAAAAACATAATTAAAAGCCACTGCTCTATTTCCTCTATTTGTAGTTAGCTATGTTTATAGTTGATTCTCCCACTGCAATGTAAACTTCTAGAAGGTATAGATTGCCCTCATCTTTTCATTTCTGCAGGATTTGTAACAGTGTTTTGGACATAGTAGTTCGTTGAGAAATATTGTTGACTTTAGTGAACTTGATGCCTTAAGTCACTCCTTTACAAATATTGTTTATCTGAAAGATAGCTATCCTGCCGAATGCAAAATCGCACTATTTGTTTGTCTAACTCTCCCACCTACAGGACCCAAAGAGGGAAATTCAGAAGATACTGAAATTCCTAGAGAAAGAAATATCAGAAGAAATTCTGAATAAAATTCTCTATCATACTTCCTTTGATATAATGAAGCAAAACCCAATGGCCAACTATACCACTCTGCCCACCAGTATCATGGACCACTCCATCTCGCCCTTTATGCGGAAAGGTAGTAAGACATGCTCACCTGTGCCCGCCCATTAAAATCTACAGTCACCTTCGATTTCCCAGAATGCTTCCACACTCTGTTATATGTTTTATTCCTGACATGTTCTTGCTTCTTCTTTCCAACCTTCTGTGCAAGTCACTAAGATGTTGCCTTGTTTCAGGGATGCCGGGAGACTGGAAGAACCATTTTACTGTTGCCCAGAATGAAGAATTTGACAAGGACTACAAGAAGAAAATGTCAGGAAGCACCTTGACCTTCCGCACAGAGATCTGAGAGCAATTCCGGAGTCAATCCTGGACTGTAGTTTAGCCCTCTGCATCATACGATAAAGCAACTACACTCTTTCTTCAATCCCAAGTTTTTCTACAGTTCCTGGAGATGTTTAGCCACCACAGCAATAGTTCACCATAATATAATCAACGCCAGAGTAGTAAGCTGGAAATTAAGTTCGGTGATCACTCACCTAGATACCTAATATATGATCACATACTCACCTATATATACTAAGGCAAAATCTACACAGGATTTAACTCCATTACAAACACCCAGAGGCAAAGTTCATTAAGAAGATAAATAAAATAGGAGTAGCCTTCAACATAAGAGAAAGGGTACAAGGGAAGCAACAAGGCTGAGAAGCGAGCCCTGGGGAGAAGGTGGAAGGGTAAAGCATTTTGCTCACCTTCGGTGGTCCAGCCCTGAGAGAGGCAGCCTTGCCCGGTTCTTTGACGGGTCAGGTTGTGGGTTTCTTCAGAGGGCGACCTGAGAGCGGCAGCAAGTAGTGAGGGAGTGACTGACGTGGAGTCAAGCTGGAGATTGTCTCCAGACCAAAGAGAAAAGCCCAGGTATCTTGTTTATAAAGACGAACAAACGTCACTCACATCGGTAACCAAGACAAGATTGAAAAGCAGCGTGAAATTTTTTTTTTTCAGATAGACTGCTTACTTAGAAAAATAGCCTTAAGTTAGTTCAAGAGATGGAGAGATAAAATATACTGCATCCCACGCATGTTAAGAAAAACGAATGGCACAACTCTTGAGAAAAATCACTTCCCATGTTTCTTTTTACAAAGGGCTCCTAGCGCAACTACCAGGATTGCCAAGCTGGTCAGTTACACAAATAATCATTTCCTGCTTCTTATCCTTTTCATGAAAACTTAGCTTGAGAAATGATTAGTCATCATTCACATGAGCTATGCAATGGCCAGACCCTTGCGTTGAATGGGTGAATAGAAGAAAGCAAGGTATCAGGCGGTGCAACAGTAGGAAGGTACTTTTTGTAGGAGCAATGGCTTCGTGTGGACTAATTTATATACTATAGAAAATTATCGACTTCTCCCAGAAACAAGTTCAGCCCCATTCCTCTACCTTTCCACTCTAAAATGAGCATGCAAATCACTAAACATGTGGAAAATAAACTGGTAAAATATTTATGCTGACTAGTAGATTACTGAGGAAAGATGTTACAAAATGAGTCATCGGCTTAAAAAGTAAATACATTGTTTTAATCAGGAAACACCCACATCAAATGCCTTCAATTGACTTCAAAAATGTTGTGGAAAAATCACATTCTCTTTGCATTCCTTTTTTCCATGAAGATTTTAAACCCCACTACTGATCCAGGAGCTACTTAAAATTTAGATAGCAAGCACTCAGCAATTCCCCTGTAGATACAATATGGACCGGGCACATAGGAGGTAATGTTTTTGGAGTTTACAATTAGGCAAATGTGCCTATCTGCTTTTACAAATTGTAAACTTCTTTATACTTTAATTGCAAAGAACAATTTCAGTCTATTCTTTATAAATTAGAGTCACAGAAAGTTTTTCTGGATTTTTCTCTTACAGAGCTCTGCTCTGTCCTTATAAGTACTACTTGAAGTGGAATTGATGGCATACTTCAAATAAATATATGTGTATGTGTGTATGTATATTATATGTACATATATATTCTTTGGTCAAAGTCCTGTAAAATTAGATGGTGGGGACATTAACTATCCATATATTCTAGACAATTGTATATTCAAAATAGAACATTTTTTAAAGCACTTTGTTCTAATCACAGATGATATGTTTGCATACATAATCTACCACAGTTACGTATGATCAAAATGTAAGTATTCATGGTTAACTTTCTTTGAAACCATTCATTAAAAGGAGAGTAAAAGCAGTGATAAGGGAAAAATAATTATAAGGACAGATTTTAAAACTTTACGTGAAAATAGAATATCATACAGGTCAACAATCTCACATTTCTGATGAGTAGAAGGAGCC